ATATTACAATTTAAAATGTCTGTCTGAATCCAATAGGTAAATGATAGACTGTGAAAAAATATTTGTAATATGTTTATCAGGGAGGAGGCTCTTCTTCCTTAATTAAAAATCAGTGCATAGAAATCAAAGACCAACAGCCATAGCGAAAAACTACAAAGAAACAGGTACTTGACATAGAAAGGGTCAACAAAAATATAAGGAGCCAGTCTTACTCGTAATTAGATAAATGCAAATCAGTCCAATAATGTTATTTTTCATCTCCCACCCTGGCAACGTCCAGGGTGTGGGATGAAGAAGAGTGCAGGGAAATAGACAAAGTTGTCTAGGTAAGATGATAGTCTTTCTGTGTTGTTCTTGTTATTTGCTGTGGTTATTCAATGATTTTGTTGTTTACTGTTTTGCTTCATTGTTTGTTCATCTCCAAACGAGAATGAAGCCACTTGGACCTTACATTTATCAGTACATAGGGAATAAGGATCTCTTTCAGCCACTTGTATGCACACAGGTGCTGGGTCATCCATCAATCCCGTCTCAGCTCTAAGGCTGAAGGGGAGGCTGATGCAGGGTACTCAGAGTAATCTCTCGGTTGTCCTCCGCCTGTTACTATTAGGCTGAGATGTGCTATTCTCCTGTCCTCACTGCCAGGTCTCTGATGGTCTGACCACGTATATAAAGTAGATGCATGCAAAACAGCACTCTTTAAAATGCCCTGCGCTCTGTAGAAAGCACACCTCCCATCCCTCCCTACACACCACACCATTTCCTCACTATTTTGTTTTCTGTTATATAGTGGGTTATACAGGGAGTATGGGTTAAAAACCTCGCATCCCTGCTGTACAGATTGTTGTTGTTAGTAGTTGATTCCAACTCCTAGTGACCCTGCAGACAGCAGAGCTGAATCCTGCCTGGTCTTTTTGCGCCATCCTCTCACCTTCCGGTGCTGTATCAGACAATGCTCTGCTGCTATTCATAGGACTTTCATGGCCGTTTTACAGAGGTGGGTGGCCAGGTCCTTCTTCCTAGTCTGTCTTAGTCTGGAAGCTCCACTGAAACCTGTCCACCATTGGTGACCCTGCTGGTATTTGAAATATCGGTGGCATAGCTTTCAGCATCACAGCAACATGCAGCTGCCAGAGTATGACAACTGACAGATAGCTGTTAAGGTTCCCTGACCCGGGACGTGAACCCGGGCCTCGGCGCTCACCACCGAACCTTAACCACTAGACCACCAAGGCTGGCCTCTGCACAGATACAGAAGCCCAATATTCTGTTTAGTGCACTCCCTGACTCTCTTGACCGTGGAACAGACAGCACAAGGGTGGCTCCAAGGATATAATATATACAGGCTAATTCCACCACCTTTGGAGGTAAATCAAAACTACCCCATATTCTGGCAAAATTTTAGGTAAATCAAAACTACCCCATATTCTGGCAAAATTTTTAAACATTAGCTGAAATAACTGCTTTAGTAATAAACCTGAGAACTTTAGGTTCTCAACATCATTGAGAATGTTGTCTTTTTTCTGTGCCTACTATTTCAGAGGGAAGTTATAAGAGCCTGTAAAAGGAACTGCTAACTGGAGATCATATTAATCAGAATCCTTGAACATCAATTCCTTGACTCCAGTGCTGATTTTGTATTTTATTTCCCCCATTCTGTATCACGCCAGGGGCAGCCCTGGGAGAGGAAATAACTCAGGAAGCTGGCCTAACGGTTGTACACATCATGGGGAAAAGGTACTAATCTGAGCTAACCCACACTTATAAACTGTCAAATCAGACTCCATAAATCAGAGTTCTTACACAGTATCAAGTTTACTAATAATTTCAAGGATAAGAACCATCAAGGGGCTCAGATAAAGAAGCTGGGATACCCCACGTAACTCCCCAGGTCCCTCCTTCCTGCAGTGGACATGGTTTCTCTGGCCCAGAGTAACAGATGAGTGCAGGAGAGGTTTTATAGGTTATTACTCACATAGAAGAGTTTTTAATTAATGAAACATCTTCATTTTACACCAAAGCACTTTGTAGTTGAGGGGGATTCTCCTGCCTCATAAATCCATGGCCTCACGGTTTCCTATACACAACCCTTTGGTCAAGGACATCCTGGAAACGCATGCCTGCTGAAGAGATAAAGTCTATTTCTTCTGGTAAATATCATTGGTCTACAGGAGTCCACTCAACAAGGGAATCAGATGGGTTCACCTGACGGTTTACACGGCCCACCTTTCCACCCCCCCAAACCCCCCGCTTCCACCCCGGCAGGGGGCTGTGGGGCAGAGGAAGGCATCTCCCCGGTAAAGCAAGAGAATGGATCACAGGCAGCTTCTTACAGTTTGCCCTCCACATAATCACATTTATCTTTAGGGGTCCTAAAATTTAAAATGCCCTTCTCATTTTAACCTCCCCTAAAAAACCTACCTTCTCCCCTTAAAACTGTTCCTTACCTGCACTGTAGGGCCCTGCTACAGGCTACTGTTGATTGCATGTTGTAAGAAATGAAATATTAACAGTAAATAAGCAAAATAATGAAATATAAGGGCTTAAGATAGCGAAGGAATTCTTACCAACAAAAAGTAGCATATGATTCTATCAAGAACAAAGAAGTCCAAAAAAGGCTGACTAGATTTTATCTGTCCATGTATGTTATCATAGGAGGGAAGGCGGCTATTAAAAACTCACAGAAGAGATGATTTTTTTTTCATTCATATTCCTTGATACAAAAATTTAAAATGGGAGGAGGGGAGAAAGATCATAAAATAATTTGGGATGAACATGTTAAAAACTATGAAATCTAATATGTGGGAGAAATGAGTTGGTACAAAAAACACAGAAAAAAAAGGTAACGGAAAAATAATCCAAATGGTTCAAGAAATCTCAACCCAAGGAGAGGAAGGCATTCTAAAGAACACATTACAGAGAGACAACAAAGTGAAATTGCCTTATAAGTGAGTAATTTGTAAGTAATTATATACTATTATTATAATTTTTAAATAATTAGATCCTTTTTTCCTGATTCTCTTTAATGAAACTTAAAACAGTCATCTCATTTTAAACATTAGCTGAAATAACTGCTTTAGTAATAAATCCCATCAGGTAAAAAAGTAAATTGTCATAATTCCTTTTCTACCATATCATATTCTCACAATAAAGAGTTTTTATGGGGGCATATTTTGCATACATAATTAAAGCCCTGACGTTGAACGTGGACAGCAGAGTGAACAAAGAAGAGAAACTTTATAATGAAGAGATATTTCAGACAAACTTGAGATAACTATATGTGCAAACTATGTATTTTATTTAAAAACTTTGGACAAACTACAATGATGGAAGCTGGGAATTTGTCAGTTTTTAAGAAAGGAAAGTTTTGCTTAGGTAATGGAACTGACACTGGGCATAGCAGCCCCTGAGCTACACGTGGAAGAAGCTTTAGAAAAAAACAGAATCAAGAAGAAAATTCTCTAAATAAGGATAAGGAACAGATACTCAATATTGCAGTAGTTTCTGAAGAAATGTTAGTATATGCTGAGAAGATACAGACATGGCTCCTTTCTTTAACAAAAAAGGCTGATGTCAGACAAATAAATTCTGGGAAGATATCTTAAATTATTATCTACCAGTTCCATAGGGAAGAAAGCTTGGCAAGAGTTATTAGAATGCTTGTAACTAAAGACAGCATTTCCTTAACACAGGATTTTTGACTGAAAGATTTTTAACTTGGTTTCTTGGAATTTACTAAGAAAGCTGCATACCATCCTTCTGAAGTTTTTCAAAAAATATGTTCATAGCGCAATATCTGAAATATACAGAAATGTATATATTTTTAACTATTGGTAACTTGTTAGGCTATAGCACATCACTCTTTTTTATCTTGCATGTCTTTGAATATTAATGAGAAAGAATTATTTTCATGTTTATGGTCATTCTTTTCTGAGTTGTCTGTTTATGGTGTCTGTTTTATTTCATAAAATAAACCCTTGACTAATAAAGACAAAGACCTTTTCATATTTGTTGATTTTATAGCCTCAAACTTTGAAAGAAAATTGAGCACACTAATAAGTTGATCTAAAACTGGGGAAGGTAGAAAGATTACCTTTCATAGTTAGGATAGGATGGGGTATACTTTCAGTACATCTAAAAATAACTGTACAGTTAATTAAAATATCTGCTTAGGACTGTTGCCCGCCACTTATAAAAAAAATTCAACCCTTTCAGTGATCTGTCTTGTAAGAATGAGGTCTCTGGCAGTCTAATTAAATGTAATGACTTTCTGCTGAGGAACTTCCAAAAATTATGTGTATCATAAAAATTATTTATGATATCTAAGTGGGCCTCATTCCACCATCACCTTCTTAAATCCAGGGTCTCACTTTTGTAATAGAGTAAGATCCACAGACCAAAAAAAAGATTTATGGCTCAAAATAAGCTTAATTAACAATTGACACTTTCACCCAAACATTCCTAACTTAAATACAGCAGGGGTCTTTTTATTTTCCAATCATCAACAAAGCTCACCCTTCATTAGAAGAATCAATGAAGTGTGCCAAAGATTTTCCAGCAGCTTCTACTTAACAGTATGCAAGGGCAAACAAAGAGGAATTAGACCAAAGTTTTTATCTTTCATAAAAAGATATAGTCAGTAGGGGCCGGCCTGGTGGTGCAAGTGGTTAAGTGCGCGCACTCCACTGTGGCAGCCCAGGGTTCGCCGGTTCAGATGCCGGGCACGCACTGATGCACTGCTTGGCAAGCCATGCTGTGGTGGCGTCCCATATAAAGTGGAGGATGGTGGGCATGGATGTTACCCCAGGGCCAGTCTTCCTCAGCAAAAAAAAAAAAAAAAGAGGAGGATTGGCAGATGTTAGCGTAGGGCTGATTTCCTCACCAAAAAAAAAAAAAAAAGATATAGTCAATAGATGAGTCCATGACTGCTAATTGCCTACCAAACATACATTCTCTCTTTTTCTTTAAAATTAAAAGAACTCCCATTTAGAACTGGGCACCCTACTAAAGGAACACATTTCCCAGCTGACATTGCAGCTGGGTAAGGTTTATTGCCTAGGTTATGGACGATGAGCTAAGTGGAGCTGAGCAGGGATCTAGTTCAGTCTGGAATCTAGCTGTTACCTCAGAACTTTCCTATAATTGATAGCCATAGAGTTCCAGAAATTTCCTTATGTTGTCATATTACGAAATGTCATCTATGTAAAAGAGCACACTCCCTCTGGTTCAGATCTTCATCTCTGTCTAGACCCCTAAGAAGGATGTAGTGAACCAAAAAGAGTCTTACATTTACAGATTCTTCTTTTTGTCTTCTCACATCTGGCCATCTTTGGTCCTGAGTTAGAGTCTCATTAAAAGTAAACTGGCCTTTGGTACCAAGAGTGATTTCAGCACCATGGCATAGTGAGTTGTTCCCTTTGTCTCTCCCCTCTAAGTTACAACTCAATGGACATTCATTAACCAACAGCAGATTCCCTACACAGCAGGATGCCTGACAGATCCATGCAGCCATACATCTGAAGGTAGGTGGACTGGATCCCCAGGAAGCAGTGGAAATGGGTGAGTGGACCCCTCTTACTCCCTGTGAGCCAGGTCTCAGATTCTCACATAGCGGCCAGCCCAGGGCAACTGTAAGTGGAGGGAGATGCAGCCCTGCCTGTGTGTGAATGCTTTCAGAGTGGTAGCCTGGTCCACAGGAGCGCCCATCCTACTGCAGTGGCCTCACCCATGGGAACACTCCCCACCAAGTTGAGGGTGCTCAGCCCCACATAGGTGCCCCTCCTGCCTAGTGCTGCAGAAACACCCACAAGCACAGCTCTGGCCTATGCGAAAGAAAGAGCCCCTCCCACCTGGTGCAGCGGCTCAGCTGGTCCCCATGCGCATGCAAGAGTGACCTGCCCACTGAGCACAAAGGCCCCACCCACATGAGTGCAACCTGCCAGGCAGCTGCAGCCAGCCCATGCAAAAGCTGAGCAGCCCTACCAGTACAACTACCAGCATTTGGGGCAGGATCAGAAAACACATCTGCCCAACCCCCAGCGGTGGCAGGTGGAATCTGTGACCTGATACTACCACAAATGCAGTGGCAAAGGATCAATTCATTAAACTCCACGAAGAACTACAGTAACACTTCAGAGAAGATGGAAAATGACAAGTCTCCAGAAACAAACCCGGAACTCACAGAAGTTTACAATCTAAATAGCAGAGAATTCAAAATTGTTGTCAGAGAGAAATTCAATGAGCTACAAGAAAACTCAGAAAGACAGTTCAAAGAGTTCAGGAGTGAAATTAATGAGCAGAAGGAATACTTCCTCAAAGATATTGAAGCTCTAAAAAAAAAAGAGAAATTCTGGATATGAAGAACACAATTATTGAGGAAAAACATAATCTAAAACCCATCAAAAATAGAGCTGACATTATTGAGGACAGAATTAGTGAATCAGAGGATAGAAATATAGAAATGCTTCAGGTGGAGGAAGAGAGAGAACTAAGATTTAAGAAAAATGAACAAATTCTTCAAGAAATATCCAACTTAATTAGGAAAAGCAATATAAGGTATCCTAGAGGAAGAAGAGAGGGAGAAAGGAGCATTTCTTTCTTGTTCAAAGAAATAATAGCTGAGAACTTCCCAAACATGGGGAAGGAACTGGACTTACAAGTACATGAAGCCAATAGAACTCCTAATTACATCAATGCAAAAAAGACTTTCTCTGAGGCATAATATTAGAACTGGCAAAAGTCAATGACAGAGAAAAAGTACTAAGGGTAGCAAGAGAGAAGAAAATAACCTACAAAGGAACCCCTATAAGGCTTTCAGCAGATTTCTTAGCAGAAACCTTACAGGCTAGGAGAGAATGGAATGATATATTACAAATACTGAAAGACAAAAACTTTCAGCCAAGAATATTTTATCCAGCAAAACTACCCTTCAAATACGATGAAGAAATAAAAGCTTTCCCAGATAAACAAAAGCTGAGGGAGTTCATTGCCACTAGACCTGCCTTAAAAGAAATGATGAAAGAAGCCCTCCTACCTGAAACAAAAAGGCAAAGGTTTACAAAGGTTTGAACAAGGAGACAAACAGACAAAATCAGAAAATTGCAGCTTTCTATCAGAACACATTAGCAAACACTTAATTTTAACATAAAAGATAAAGGGAAGGAAAGCATCAAAAATAACTATAAACACTTCAATTTAGTCACAAACTCACAACACAAAAAAGAAGAACTTGTGACAACAATAACTAAGAAGGAGAAGAGGAAAGGAATGGAACCTGCTTAGGCTAATGTAGATACGAGGCTACCAGAAAATGGACTAGTTCATCTATGAGATCTTTTAAACAAACTTCATGGTAACCACTAAACAAAAAATCAGAGTAGAGCCACAAATGATAAATAAACAGAAAACTGAGAGAACCATCATAGAAAACCACCAAACTGAAATGGCAGTCAAAAATAGAAAAGAAACCATGGAAATACAGAACAACTGGAAAGCAGAGATAAAATGGCAGTATTAAGCCCTCATTTATCAATAATCACCCTAAATGTAAATGGATTGAATTCTCCAATCAAAAGACACAGAGTGGTAGGATAGATTTAAAAAAAAGTCCCAACAATATGCTACCTCCAGGAAACACATCTCAGCTTGAAAGACGAACATAGGTTCACAGTGAAGGGATGGAAGACAATACTCCAAGCAAATGACAAACAAAAGAAAACAGGTGTTCCCATACTTATATCAGACAAAGCAGACTTCAAGATAAAAAAGACAATGAGAGACAAAGAGGGAGCAGTATATAATGATAAAAGGGACATTGCACCAAGAGGACACAGCACTTTTGAATATGTATGCACCTAACACAGGAGCACCAAAGTATATAAAGCAACTACTAACACACCTAAAGGGAGAAATTGACAGCAACATGATAATAGTAGGGGACTTTAACACTCCACTTACATCAATGGATAGATCATCCAAACAGAAGATCAATAAGGAAACATTGGCCTTAAATGACACACTAGACCAAATGGATATATATATATATATATATATATATATATATATATATATAACATGCCATTCAAAAACAGCAGAATACACATTCTTCTCAAGTGCACATGGAACATTCTTAAAGATAGATCATATGCTTGGAAACAAGGCAAGCCTCAGGAAATTTAAGAACACTGAAATCATATCAGGCATTTTTTCTTTTTTTTTTTTTTTGATATTTTAAAACAACATTCATTTATTGTCACTCAGGTATCTAAAAGAGAGCTGGATTTTGGCTGATCCAGGCTGGGTCACTCTGTTTTAGGTTGCAGCAGCCAGGGTGCTCTGCTTCTTGCTGTTGGTCTGCAGGGCGGCTCTACTCCACATGTCTCTCACCTTCCTGGGACGAGCAGGCCAGTCTTGCCGTGTTCCCCTCACGGCGGTGGCTGACGCCCAAAAGCAAAGCAGAAACACACAAAGTCTCTTAAATCCTAGATTTGGAAGGGTACACACATTTCTGTTTACGTCATTGACTGAAGCAGGCACCAAAATCAAGGCCGAAGTCAGCAGTGTGGATGCGGGGAGGGGTGAAAGAGTCAACATACCACATCTCCCTCTTCTTTACTTCCCATAGCTGACACGTAACATTGGCTTCCTTGGCTTATTGATTTTATCACCATCATCTCCTGAATATGTCTAGTTCTCATCCTCTCTTCCAGCACTGCCCTAGGCTAAGCTACCATGGTCCGCTTGGACTCTGCAATAGCCTCCTAACTGGTCTCTACTTATCCAATCTTGGACCTAACCCCAAAGTGATCTTTCAATGTCACAGATCTGCTCATGTCACTTCCTATGACTGCTCTTTGTTCTGAAGATAAAGATAAAAATTTCTTATGTCATCTAGGGACCCACATAATCTGACAGCCATTAGCTCTTCTGTCTCATCTCATAAGATTTCCTATGATTTCCTTCATTAAGTAGTAGATAATAACAAAACAATAAACAAACACATAGGGACAGAGATTGGATTGGTGGTTACCAGAGGGGAAGGGCGGAGGGAGGAGGGTGAACAGGATAATTCAGTACATGTGTATGGTGATGGGTTGTAATTAGTATTTTGGTGGTGAACATGATGTAATCAGGCATCTTTTCTGACCATAGTGCTATGACACTAGAAATCAACTACAAGATAAAAGCTGGGAAAGTCACAAATATGTGGAGACTAAAGAACATGTTACTGAACAACCATTGGATCAATGAAGAAATCAAAGGAAAAATCAGAAAATACCTGGAGACAAATGAAAATGAAAACACAACATACTACCTCTTATGAGATGCAGCAAAAATGGTACTAAGAAGGAAATTTATAAAAATACAGGCCTATATCAACAAACAAGAAAAATCACAAATAAGTGATCTTAACTACAAAACAGGAATAGAAAAAGTAGAACAAACAAAGCCCAAAGTCAGCAGAAGGAGGAAAAATAACAAAAATTAGAGCAGAAATACATGAAACAGAGACTACAAAAACAGTAGAAAGGATCAATGAAACTAAGAGCTGATTCTCTGAGAAGATAAACAAAATTGACAAACTCTTAGCCAGACTCACTAAGATAAAAAGAGAGAAGGCTCAAATAAATAAAATTAGAAATGAAAGAGGAGAAATTTCAATGGACACCACAGAAATATAAAGTATTATAAGACAATACTATGAAAAACTGTATGCCAAAAAATTGGATAATCTAGAAGAAATGGATAAATTTTTAGACTCATGCAGCCTCCCAAAACTGAATCAAGAAGAAATAGAGAGTCTGAATAGACCAATCACAAGAAAAGAGATACAAACAGAAATCAAAAACCTCCCACAAAACAAAAGCCAAGGACCAGATGGCTTCTCTGGAGACTTCTACCAAACATTCGAAGATTTAATACCTATCCTTCTCAAACTATTCCAAAAAATTGAAGAAGATGGAATGCTTCCTAACTCATTCTACGAGGCCAACATCACCCTGATACCAAAATCAGACAAGGACAATACAAAGAAGGAAAATTGCAGGCCAATATAGCTGAGGAACACAGATGCAAAAACCCTTAACAAAATATTGGCAAACTGAGGGGCTGGCCAGGTGGCACAGTGGTTAAGTTCACACACTCCACTTCTGGCAGCCGAGGGTACACAGGTTAGGATCCTGGGCGTGGACCTACACATCACTCATCAAGCTATGCTGTGGCAGGCGTCCCACATAAAGTAGAGGAAGATGGCCACGGATGTTAGCCCAGGGCCAATCTTCCACAGCAAAAAGAGGAGGATTGGCAACAGGTGTTAGCTCAGGGCTAATTTTCCTCACACACACACAAAAAAAAATTGGCAAATTGTATACATCAATACATTAAAAGGATCAAACACCATGACCAAGTGGGATTTACACCTGGGACACAAGGATGGTTCAACGTTCACAAATCAATCAATGTGATACATCACATTAACAAAATGAAGAATAAAAATCATATGATCTCCTCAATAGATGCACAGAAAGCATTTGACAAGATCCAACATCCATTTATGATAAAAACTTTCAACAAAATGGGTATAGAAAGGAAAGTACCTCAACATAATAAAGGTCATATATGACAAACCCATAGCCAACATCATACTTCACGGTGAAAAACTGAACACCATTAGTCTGAGAACAGAAACAAGACAAGAGTGCCCACTCTCACCACTCTTATTCAGCACCATACTGGAGGTTTTGACCAGAGCAATTAGGCAAGAAAAAGAAACAAAAGGTATCCAAATTGGGAAAGAAGAAATAAAACTCTCGCTGTTTGCAGACAACATGATTCTATATACAGAAAACCCTAAAGCATCCACCAGAAAACTATTAGAAATAATCAACAACTATAGCAAAGTTCCAGGGTGCAAAATCAACCTACAAAAATCAGTTGTATTTCTACACACTAATAATGAACTAGTAAAAGGAAAAGTTAAGAATACAATCCCATTTACAACTGCAACAAAAAGAATAAAATATCTAGGAATAAATTTAACCAAGGAGGTGAAAGTCCTCTACACTGAAAACTATACGATATTATTGAAAGAAATCAAAAAATACATAAAGAAATGGAAAGATATTCCATGTTCTTTGATTGGAAGAATAAACATAGTTAAAACGTCCATATTATCTAAAGCAATCTATAGATTCAATTCAATACCAATCAGAAGTCCAATGACATTCTTCACAGAAATAGAACAAAGAATACTAAAATTTATAAGGAACAACAAAAGACCCCAAATAGCCAAAACAATCCTGATAAAAAAGAACAAAGGTGGAGGCATCACAATGCCCAACTTCAAAATATGCTACAAAGCTATAGGAATCAAAACAGCATGGTATGGGCATAAAGACCGACACACAGATCAATGGAACAGAATTGAAAGCCCAGAAATAAACCCACACATCTATGGACAGCTAATCTTTGACAAAGGAGCCAAGAACATACAATGGAGAA